CACTGGGAGGCTGCTCGGGGGCACTGGGGTGAGGCTCACTGAGGAGGCTGCTGCCTGAACTGGGGCACAAGGACCAAGGATGGGCAGAGAGACTCAGCACAGGGTTTTGGGGAAGGAGATGAGTCTGCAGGCAGGATGGATGCCAGATCCAGAGGCAGTCTTGGCCAAGCTTGAGGAGAGGGGCTGCTTTGAGGACCAAAAGGGTCCAGGGGCTCGGGGCTGGCTGAGCACCCCATCCCAGGGCTGGCAGGGAGCAGGGACAAGACTGAGGACGGAAGGAGACAAGGCTGCTTCAGCCAGAGTTGTGAAGGACACAAGACCTCTGGAAGGAAGCGCTGTCCCACCGAGGCTGGAACAGCAGTAAGGACCATGAGGAGCCTCAGAGAGGGTCGGGGAGAGAACAGCAGCTCCCTGCCATCCTCAGGTGCCCCAGGGCTGCACAGAAGCCACCAGCTCTGGCGATGAAGAGGAGCTACTTGGTCTCACCTTGCTCAGCCCCAGGGAGCTCTGCACCCCAGCACTTGGGGTCCCCTCTTGGAGAAGAGCCTGCCCTGGGCACGGAGAGAGGCTGTCCCCTCTTGCCAACCAGATGGAGAAACACAGGGACAATGACCCCAGGAGGGGCAGGGAGAGCCTGGGGGCTGCACGGGGACATCCCATGAGGTGCCAGCCTGGCCACCACACTGCTGAAGAGGTGGAGGTGCCCACCTGCGACCAAAGAGAAGGACAGGGGAGCTCTCAGGAGAAAACAGCCCACACCCAAGGACCTGCCCACCTCCAGCCCTCAAAGACAGTGACAAGAAGCCACAAGTTCAGGGGGGACAGGCTCCAGAACTCCAGAATGAAGCACCAGCTGACTCACCAGCATGATTTTAGCGCTGGGTCTTTCTAGGGGAAGGATGAAGCTCGGTTTTCAGAAATCCCACCAGATCTCTGGCAGTGAATCCAGTCTTGGGCCATGCCCTGCCCCTCCCTGGTGCACACAGCATTTCTGGGTGCCTGTAACATCCCAGTCAGAGCTAACGTTTCCTTAAAAGAATTTTGACTACCAAGAATGTTAAATAACTTAGGGTGGGGGGAAAAAATCAGCATAAAACCGGATATCCTGGGGGGGGGAACCAATATAAAGCCCAAGTCCAGCTAAGGGGGGAAAGTAGGTTGTAAAAATTAATGAGAATAATTGTTGTGAATTCTTGCTTTTGAAAGAACCCTCGTGAGGGCAGAACCTTAATTATTTCTGTCTATTAGGTTCATTTCCTGGTCCTAAGCAGAGAGCTCGTACCTAATAAATACGAGCCAGTAACACAATGATTTAAGCTACAGCAAAATGGTGCTTAACTGCAGGGGAAGTTAATATTTGGGAATCAACCTGATTGCAAGCACCCATTGTGTAAATGGCAAGGAAATGAAATGTGCATGTGACCTTTTTTAACACCTCGCTATTTCTGGGGTGTTTTTAGGGGTAGCAGAGAAGGGGGAGGTGACCAATGGAGCTGCTGACAACCACCCTGAAAACTTCACCAAAACTCTCCTCATAGCTTAAGCCTCTTTTTGGGGAGTAGGGCTGAGGAGAGGGAGATCCCAGGGTGCTTAAATATCTTTTCAGGCTGTCTAAAATACCAGGGGAAATAAGCACAAGTCCTACACTGGGATTGCAGCTGTGCTCTCGAAATAAATTGACCTATCTGGACGCAGGCAGGTATTTCTATAAGCTGTGTAAGCAGGGACTCAAATGCATTTTGGGGTGAGTCACACAATTCATTCTGTAATAGAATTCAGCTATAACAGAGCTCTTGAAACCTAAACCCCATGCAGGGATGAATCTGTGTGTGTGTGTGTGTGTGTGTGTGTAAAATACATGGGTGTATAAAACTGTGTAAAATGTCAGAGGCTGGGTGGGGTGGATGGGAAAGATTGCATGAGGGTTGAGCTACAGATGAGGGGTGAAGGTGAGAGAGAATTGGGAAAAAATCAACAGTGCATGACAGCAAGAGCTGGGGATGCCCCACATGTCAGGGGCTGCCATCCTTTATGGCTGGGGAAATGCAGCCTGCGTTGCAAGAGGAAAATCTGATTTTCCAAGCAACCTCTCAGCTGTGAAAGCTGAGCTCAGTTTCAGCTGGTGGAAAAGACCCCAACTCAGTTTCACCCACCTCAGCTGGAAGATGTTTCTCCTCAGCATTTGCATCAACCCCAATATCATTCCCCATCTGCACTGGGATGAGCTGCAAGTTTTATTCCCTTCCCTGCAGGGAGATGCCATTTAGGGAAGATCATCCCCTGGTTTATTTTTATGGCTCTCTCTTTCCCAATTGGGATTTTATCGTGGGGCTACAGCCACTCTTCCTCCTTTCCACCCCTGACTCCAAGCAGCATGGGGAGGAATGTGTGTGTCAGGGGCAGAGGGATGTCAGAGTCTGCGAAATGTGTCAGGGGTGTGTAAAATGTGTCCTGGTGTGTCTGTGGGGATTCCTGCCTGTGTCAGATACACAGATGTCATTTCTTATCACACAGATGTTGCCGATTTACAATCAAATATTCCTGCTCCTCCTAGCATGGCAGTTTTCCCAAACTACTGTACTTACATGTTCCTGCTTTGCTTTCGTTTTATTTGCATGATCATTTCTTTTCCTATAAACCAGCCCCGTTTTTCTTCAAAGGAGAGCAGTCCCATTCACGTCTGTTTTCTGCTCGGGAAATGCCTTTAAAGCAGGCAGTGTGTCCTGTTTTATTAACTCCCACTTCTATTAATATTATATTCTTTCTGCAAATCCATCAAGCAGAAGTTAAACTTGATTTTATAGCATCCACAGTGGAGTTATAATTTAAGGCATAATTTGGCAAGAACTCAATTTGGATTTGGTTTGCTTGTCCTGGCCGTGCCAGCAGCTCCTATTTTAAAGGGCAGGGAAGTATTTTCCTTTCTCCCTAGTTATGGTGGAACACTCTTTCTTCTCCAGCCCAGCTCTGCTCTCTGCATCTTGCTGGCCAGCTGACGGATGGAGGAAATGCAATAATTTCACACTGGTTAGGAACCTGCATTTCCAGGAAAGCATCCAGGATTTCTTTGGGGTGCTAAATGACTTTTCTCTGTTTGAGAAACAATTATTCTATCGGGTACAAAGGAGCCATCCTACCTGCCTGTAAGTACAAGTTTACAGTACGTGATTTTTGTGTGATTAAGAGAGGAATTGAGTTTTCATGGGGCTGTGGCACAGTTGGTGAAAGACATCCCTGATTCATCTGTGGAGAACCACGCTGCCTTCACCACTCAGCCTTCCTCCTCCTCCCCTGCTGGCTGGGGAAGCCCAAACCCAAAGCAGGGAAGGAGCGGGAGCAGCGGGCTCCTCACAGAGGGGCAGCGACACCACGCCAAAAACCCCCTTATTCCACCCAACCCTTCTCTGCTCCAGCAGAGGACAAACCCAGGCCGTTCTTTTCGTGCTTTGTTTGCCTGCTGCCGGGAGCTGAGCCTCCCTTTCCTGGCCGGGCCTCCCGGCTGCCGAGCCCGCAGCCCCCGTGGGCAGCCGGGTTATCAGCGCCCGGCCGCGGCGGGGAGCGCCCGGCTCCCTCCTCCAGATTAGGAGCCTTTGACCCGTGGGGAGGGGGGAGATAAAGCAAACTTCCTCGCTTGGTCCGTCTCCGTGTGAGCAAAGCATCCTGGTGAGCTCATTCCCCCCGCCCCGGCTCGCCCCGAGCCTGGCTTTGTGCGGCCAGGAATAACAGAGGGGATGGGATGGGATGGGATGGGATGGGAGAGAGGAAAGGGGAAGGGAAGGAGCGAGAAGGAAGAAAATGGGCAAGGGAGAGGAAAGGACAAGAAGAAAGGACAAAGGCACAAGGAGAAAGGGAAAGAAAGGGGACGAGAAAGGAGAAGGAAGGAAAAGGAAAGGACAGGGAGGGGAGAGGAGGAGAAAAGGAAAAAGGGGACAAGGAGGGGGAAAAGGAAAAAGGGGACAAGGAGGGGGAAAAGGAAGGGGGACAAGGAGGAGAAAAGGAAAAAGAGGAGAAGGAGGAGAAAAGGAAGGGGGACAAGGACAAGAAGAGGAAGGGGGACAAGGAAGTGGAGAGGGGAAAGGAGGGGGAAGGAGAAGGACAAAAAGAAAAAGGAGAAGGAAGGAGCGGAAAGAAAAAGCAGGGGTGAAAGAAGAAGTAGGGAGGGCAGAGGGGCTGAGTCTCTCAGGAGGAGGAAGGGTGAAGGAGCGGGATGCTCTTTGCCGGGGCGGGGGCCGGCCCAGCCGCTCACCTTGTGGTTTTGGTAGGAGGTGACGGCGATGAAGGCGGTCTCCGGGAAGACGTGCGTGCAGAAGGCGGTGTTCTTGGAGCCGAAGCCGTTGTTCTCGTCCGCTTTCACGATGTGAAGCCGGGGCTGGTATTTGTGCATGGAGTTCAGGATGATCTGGGCAAGGGGAGAAGGAGAGGACATCCCGTGGGAATGGAGGGGGCACAACACGGCGCATTCCCCCCCTTTTCCTCCCAGGGAAGGAGGAGACACACACCAGCAGGAACCCGCAGCCCCTTCCCCAAAATGTTTGCCCTTTTCAGAACCCCCTCGGAAGGGCAGATTGCGCTGCTGGGCTAGGGGCACGGATCTCTCCAGAAACCCTCCCGGGAGGTGCTGCCAGGGGCTTCCTCACCTGCTCCCCCCTCCCCAGCCCTGCTCCGGCCACACAAACCCCTGAGGGGCCAGAACTGCTCCACCGACACGTGCTGGGGCAAATGGGGCATCTCAGCACCCCCATCCCATCCCGGGGGTGGGTAAAGAGTGAAGAAAGGGTGAGGGGCGAGAGCTGGAGGGGTTTAGGGCCATCCCTCCCGCCAGCCCCCCGCAGAGGAGGGTGGCGGAGCCGGAGGGGCTGGCGCGGTGCCCCAGATAAAGAGCGGGCCCGGCTCGGTACCGGGTTAGCCTCGGGGGGGATGGGGGCGGCGGGGGGCCGCTCGGCCCGGTAATGACTGCCGGACCCTGGCGACAGCAGACGCAGCGCGTCCCGCCGCCGCCTCCCCCGTCCCGGGGGTTTAAGCAAATTGCTCTGACATCCAGGAAAGTCGTAGACATCAACGGTGAACGATCTAATGGTTTTTAATTTCATTACAGCGACTCTAATTGAGAGGCTCCTGGCGCAGCTCCTCCTCTGAAGTCCCTTATTGTCCCCTCAGCGTCTTGGGTTTGTTTGGAGGGACTTTTTCCCCAGAGCCGCCTGTTCCCAGCGGGGATGCCTGGCCCCTTCCCCCCGGCCGGATCCCCCCCTTCTCCCCAAAAGCACCCCGGGGGTGGGATGGGTTCCCCCGGCTGCGCTGCTCCCCTCCCTCTTCCCGCAGGAAAGCTCCTGATCCCTGGGAAGCAGCCCTTGCAAACTCCTTCCGCACCAGCTCAATTAGAATTAAAATAAAATTCGAATTAGAAAAAGAAAAAGGAAATGAACCCCCGCAAATGGAGGTGCAAAGGAAAGCTTGTAAATGATGCTCAGCATTGGGGTGGGCTGGGGACTCTGCTGGCTCCTCTCCCCTAAAGCTCTCTCACTTCTTGGCTACCACGTGGGCGAGGATTTAATAGCACAAAATTTATCATTAAAAAGCGAAGAGGAAAAAAAAAAAAAAAAACTTGGAAAAAANCACGTGGGCGAGGATTTAATAGCACAAAATTTATCAAAAAAAAAAGAAGAAAAAAAAAAAAAAAAACAACTTGGAAAAAATGAAACTGAAGTGTTGAAACGAGACTGGAGAAAAATCCACTTTGGAAAGGGCTGGCGGGATCTGGAGTCACATATTCGTTCAATTACATTTTTTTTTTAATATATATACACATATACTTTTTTTAATTCATACATGCACATATATATTTTCTCAGAGGAACTCGCATCTTTGGAGACCTTCGAAGGAGGGCTGTTCCTGGCTGCAGAATTCACACAAATTTTCACGGCCCCACGAGTCTCGCAAAGACCTTTTTAATGCCCAAGAAGTTCTAGCGGGACTTCAATTTCTCTAATTGTCTTTAATTATTTTTTTTTTCCCTGATCGAGGGATCCACATCGTTTAAGGTCCTATTTCCTCCGTTAATTATGCCTGATTGATTCTACCTGTTAGGCAAATTCCCGGAGGCAGCGGGCGGATTTTAACGATTGGGGATTCCCCATGCAATTAAAATCAGGGTGCCCAAATACTCAGTCAAGCCGGGAGAGTTTCACCCACTCGCCAAGTCCAGGCCCGGGGGTCTGGCATCAATTCCCACGAAATAACCCGGATTTAAGGTCCATGCTTCTGTTCCTGGGGGTTCCCAGCGGGGCTCCTCCCGCTCTCTCAGGGCTGGAAACAACACCTGGATTTGCGGGTGGGTGACACTGGCACCACCTCGGTGGCAGGGGACACCGGTGCCCTTGTCCCAGCGCCGGTACTTACGTGTCCGAAGGGATCCAGGTGGTTGTTGGTGAGTTTGAGCTTCTGGAAGGAGACCAGCTGCCTCATCCAGTGCGCGCCGGTGGCCGGGGAATCGGGGTGCACGTACAGCCTGCCGGGCATGGCCGGCTCCGCCTTGCCTGTCACCGACCTGCGTGGGGACACGGGGCTGA